TGCAGGCAAAAAAAGTCGTCATCATCATTGGTGAGGTGGTGGTGCAGTCCGTCTTCTTCTCCTAGTCGATTTTCTATTAATGTCAACTTCATTCATCTCTTCTTCCTCCCACCATCACACATCCTTCTTTTTTGCTTCTTTTCGTTTTTTCTTTTTACACCACACCCGTTTTTGACTTGAAATCAGATCCACCTCCGTTTCCTGTGTATGTGGGGGAAGGATGACGTGGATTCTGGAATACGGAGAACGAACAAATTGGTCCTAGTTTAGGAATTTTAGGGGAAAATTCAAAAAAGAAAATTGGTGCTTTTGGTTTTGACTTTATTAAAAAGGGTTAAATGAACTGTCACCAGAGATTCTGAAAATTTTTTGGCTTATATTAGGATTAACAAGATTTTCAGTTACATATTCTTTGAAATTTCTTAATATAGGAAATTCACTGTTTTTCCAAATCTGAATAATCAACTCAGTTTAATCCTAGAAGAATTTTTTCTATCTCACCGTAGACACATTCCCCTCCCTTTAACTTTCAATTTTTAGCCAATTTATCTCGGCTCCTGTGAATGATCTCAAAAAGTGATAAACTGATAAAATGTCGTTGAAAAAGTGGTGAACATTTTATCAAATGACAATTTTTATATCTCTCATAGCAATCAATGTGGCTCATAATTACCCGGCCTCAAGTTTGTACTGGCATAAAGTTTGAGTAAGGCGTTGTACAGGGCTCAAATTTGGAATTTAAAAATTCCAATAATTCATCAACGAGCAAACCAATTTTCAAATTATTTGAGCAACATTGAGCTGACATGAGTTATCGCTTGTCAAAGTTGCTTCATCTCATTAAAATCACAATGGCGTGCTAGAAAAATTACGCCGTTCATTCTTGGTCAATCATAACAATGCCTATCCTCACGGAATCGCTTTGAAAATTTCAGTAGCTTTGAATCAAATATAAAATTATAATTCTACCAACTTTCGTGCTTCCGTGATACTTAAGTCTAAGGATATACCCGTTTTTATCAGTCCGGGTGATTGTGAGCCACACTGTAAACCTATATGATTTTTAGCTCAATTATCTCGGTTACTTCAAAAGACATCAAAACTGTGTCAACTAAAAATTAGTTATCGTAATGTCACCAATATTTTAGCAGTTGATATATTTTTGATATCTTTTTCAGGCATCGAGATAATTGAGCAAAAAGTTGCCGGTTTAGGTGAGCTTCTTATAGAAAGAAAACGGCAGCGTCGAAATTTTCGAAAAGTTGTTTTTTACTGATAAGCTCCGTTCCAACAGTGTTCTGGTGTGTGGAGCTTCAAAATTCACTTTTGGTTTTCTTTGCTGCTCCGTCAGTTTCAAAAGGCAACCCATTCCCTTTCCAGCTCATTCATTTTGGTCCGGAAATGGTTTGGTCACTCACGTGGCTCTCGGCTTCCTTTTTACTCAAAATCCAAAAAATCCGACATGTTCTTATGAACCACAGAACATGTTCCAAGCTGACAGGTGTTTAGTATTGATTCCCAAAAAAATGCTCTGTTTTTCTCTACTTTGTCCATATGAAGCCTTTCAGTTAATTCGAGCGGAAGACTAGAGCACTAATGTAAACGTCATTTCGAATTACTGAAAAGGATGTATGTGGATTTCTTATTTCATATTTTTTCTGTACTACTTCTTCTTATCCCTAAAATATTTTTTGCTTTCACATATTCTCAGATATGCATTATAACAACGTTCCAGTGTTCCCTATACCCCAAAACTCACATCCATCTATCAAAAACCGGAGAAAGAAAAACCACTTCTAGAAAAAAGAGTAGGAGCTGTCGACTTCAGAAGCAGAAGTGCATGTATAAATAAGTAGTAAAAAGGAGGAGGTTGTGCACCGCCACGGGTCCTCGCCTGTCGAGAGATCATAAAAAGCGACTCTGAAAAGTAGAAGCCTCCCGTCACGACGTCTTCTTTATCGCTTCCGTTTCTTTATTACCTTCCTGGCCTTCTTCTCCCACCCAACGTCTTCTCTTTTTCTTCCAACACGTCATCATTTTTTTAATGATTACAATTTCCAGGAATGTCGTCATGGAACGACGCTTGGGATCGTGGCAAACAAATGGTCGGGGAGCCACTGGCCAAGTAAGTAACCATAGAAGAAGGCCATAACCATTTCCGGAGTCTCGAAGAAAAAAGGGGGCATGTGGCCGTGAAATTATTTCGACAAAGTCAAAAAATGCACTCATTCAGACATAACCACTTACTAACCTCTTAGATTTTAGGTTCTATGTTTTGGTTCCTTATGTGACCAACTTCTAAGCACTACGAATTTCCGGATAACTCTCTGTTTTTTTTCAGAATGACTGCAGCTGCATCGTCGGTCACGTCCGCTGCAACGGCGACATCTGCAGCACCTCAACAAATGTAAGTTTTAAAGGCGCAGGTGTGATTTTGATCTCGGAAAAAATAATTTGATCTACTGAGTCACCTGAACTCGAGCCTAGATCAAAGAGCTGCGATCCTTTCATATACGGGTGATCATGAATCTCTAAAATTGCTCCGACGTTGCTGATCTGGATTGAAATTTTTAAGGGACGGAATTCAAGTATCGCTTAGCTGAAAATAAAATTTTTCCTATTTTTAAAAGCACGAAATCCGAGAAATTGGATCATAAATTCGGCTAATGTGTCTAAGAAAGAGTGGCGCATAGGCACCCGGGCTAAAGTTTGGGTTAGCATAAATTTGAATAAAGTGTTTTTTCGGGACACAAATTTGGAGTACCAAAAGTCAAATTATTAATTATTAAACTGGCCAAGTTTCAAATTATTTTATCAATTTTGAGCTGAGTTATCGCTTATCAAAGTTGCTTCATCTCATGAAAATCACAAGAAACATTACGCCGTTCATCTTTGAACGATCGTAACAATACCTAGACTTGAGGAATCGCTTTGAAAATTTCAGTAGCTTTGAGTCAAACGTAACATTATATTTCTATCAATTTTCGGGCTTCCAGGATACTTATACGAAATTCGACTTTTCGTTTTTTTAAATGCGAAATCGAAGATTCCGATTTAGTATTGTTTCCAGATTAATCTCGATTTTTTTTGAAAACAAAAAATTCCTACCGTTTTGACCTTGATTGCTTACAAGCAAACAAAACCAATCACCAGCTCACTAAATTAATTACTAAATTAGGAACTAAATCTCACAAGCAAAAAACTGAATTTGAAGATATAATGATCTAGGTAATACAAGTAACGGTCTTCAGACAAGATCAAGGGCATAAACGATGAGACGAGTTCAAATATTCAGAGAAAGACACTATCTGTCCTCATCGGGTGGTCTCATTCTTCTTCTCATTTTCACGTTAGCATCTGAAGAAGGATGATAGACTAAAGAATGAAAAAAATGTAGAAACTACAGTGTTTTGATTCATAAAATATGTTTGTGTGTAGTTTAATCGGAAGATCTGAGGATACAAGAACGTTTCCAGGCAAGAAGAATCAAATGAGAATCCGATGCGAATGCACTCGAACAAAGTTCTCCAATTCGTCGAACAAACTTGGATTGGAAAATGTCGAAAACGCTGGCTTCTTGCTATTCTTGCCAATATGGGATTCATGATTTCCTTCGGTATTAGATGCAACTTTGGAGCCGCCAAAACGCATATGTACAAGAATTATACGGATCCATGGGGCAAGGTTCATGTGAGTGGTTCTTAGATAACGAATTCTAAGAATTCAACAAAATTCAGATGCACGAATTTAACTGGACAATAGAGGAGCTTAGTGTAATGGAGAGTTCGTATTTCTATGGTTACTTGGTCACTCAGATTCCCGCTGGATTTCTTGCTGCCAAATTTCCACCCAATAAGTTGGTGTTATCAGATTTATCTATTTAGTTATCGATTATTTTTCAGATTATTCGGATTTGGAATCGGTGTTGGTGCATTTCTAAACATTCTTCTTCCGTATGGTTTCAAAGTGAAAAGTGATTATCTTGTGGCGTTCATTCAAATTGCTCAAGGATTGGTTCAGGTGAGACGCTAATCTTCAATTTCGCCAAACAAGCCGTCAACTTTGAGCCCATTTATCTTGGTTCCTGTGGAAGATATCAAAAAGTGGTAAACTGATAAAATATAGGTGATATTGTGATAAACGTTTTGTTAAATAGTTGACAACTTTTTGATATTGTTACAGATAATGATACATGAGCTCAAAGTTTGCAATTATGGTGGCAATCTATTAGATTTTTTTTTCTGTGAAAAATTTCAAAAAAAGTCAACTAATAAAATTTTAGTCATTATATCACAAACATTTAATCGGTTGACCACTTTTTGATATCTCTCAGGAACCAAGAAATATAAGCTTAAAGTTAAAAGTTACAAAGTCCTTCTCTTACAGGTTTTACGGTACCTAATTTAATTATCTTTTATTCTTCCAGGGTGTCTGCTACCCGGCTATGCATGGGGTTTGGAGATACTGGGCTCCACCTATGGAAAGATCGAAACTCGCGACCACTGCTTTCACTGGCTCCTACGCTGGCGCTGTTCTTGGCCTCCCCCTATCCGCTTTCCTTGTCTCTTACGTCTCCTGGGCTTCACCTTTCTATCTTTATGGTAAGCATTTATTTCCAAAACGTTCAGTCATGACAAAAAAAGAGAATCATAATAACGTAGTGATATCAATGAAAAGATCTTTGTGGTTGTTGACTTTGCAAAAACGATCCGTCGATGGTTGGCCGCCTGTTCAAAGTCCATGACTCCAACTCGACTGGATCACTAGTTCCTTGCCAGCTATCAGTGACAACGCCATCGCCAGTGAATGTGATTCTGGCGGGGCGAAGAATTCTTCTGTAGACGGTTACTGGGGTTCGTTCTCCAGTCAGATAAGTGGACTCGGTTTGTGGAACCTTATCATTGTCGACAACATTCACTCGATATCTAATGTGCTCTTTGTCTTCCGGAAGAGCAAGTTGGCGAGCTGTGTTCTGGAAATTAAATGAGTTAGAGTTGTTTGGAAGGATCTTAAATGGTCCATTCTCAGTTGGGACTACTCACCAAATCAGCATTGATAATCCTCCTGGCTATCACTCTTGGTTCTCCGTACAAAATAACATTTGGTATCGATTGAGCTTGAGAAACTTCATAAGAGATACAAGACACAAGTATCAGATACAAGAAGTTCATATTTTCAAAGTAACCGTTTTATCTACATATTAAACTATTCTTCTCCTTTTAAACTAGTCTTCCTGCTAGGCCCCGCCCCAATCTGTTCTCTTTTCTTGAGAAAAAAAATCATCTCTTTTATGGTGACAAACATAAGACAGTTCCATTACACTTCACAGATGGATAGATAACATCAATAGAGAACAGTAACCGAGAAACAAAAAGGAACAAAAAGAAAAGATTACAAAATAACTTTTTTTCAGGAGTATGTGGTGTCATTTGGGCTATTGTTTGGTTCTGTGTCACTTTCGAGAAGCCTGCATTCCATCCAACCATATCACAAGAGGAGAAAATTTTCATTGAAGACGCAATTGGTCATGTTTCGAACACTCATCCTACGGTAACATTGTGAGACAAAGGCTGAAATTCAGAATTCATTTTTTAGATCCGCTCGATTCCATGGAAGGCAATTGTCACTTCGAAACCTGTATGGGCAATTATTGGTGAGTTTTGAAAAAAGGGATATAAAAGTATCCTAGTATCTAAACTATTGTAAAACCTGCGATAAAAATCAAGTTTGAGCTAATTTTTCTTGGCCCCCATGATATCAATAATCTGTCCACTGTTAAAATGTTTGCGATGTTATGATAAAAAGTGTAACCGAGATAAATTTGATCAAATTTAAAAGTTAAGGGACCCTAGAATTCAAATCTAACATAATTTAGGTTTTCACTCTTTTTGGATCCATGACTCTCTTCTAGGACGGTCTAGTAGGAAACTCATAGAATGGATTGGGAAAATTGGGAATCCTTGAAGCCCGATGAAAAGTTTATTTTTGATTTTGGTAGAAAATATCCAACATTGGATAACTGAAAAATACAGTACCGGTCCATAAGATATACAAAAATCCATGTTCAGTTGGGATTCGGCATTTTCAGAAGACTGAGGCTAGGCTGTCAAGTTTCCGAATCTTTCCAACACCGGAAAACATCTGAAAAACTAGGAACTTTCAAAATATTCTGTAAATGCAAATTTTCAAATCTAGGTCTCTTTTACACCCTCCAAAATTTTCCAAGGAATCGGAAACTTGACAGCCGAGCTCCATACTCCTGAAAATGATCGAATTTGACGAAATTCCACTGAAAAGTACTTTTTTCAAATCTTATTGAACGGTACTGTAGCTTATGCTAAAACTGTTTGGTCGAGAATATTCTATCAGTAAAATCTTGGATCAAAAACCGTACGAGCCACCCGATATTTTTTCTGTTTCGTAATATTACATCTCTTCCAATTTATTTATAAACAAAATCTATCCGTTCTTGCAGTTGCAAACTTCGCCCGTAGTTGGACATTCTACCTTCTTCTACAAAACCAACTGACCTATATGAAGGAAGCGTTGGGAATGAAGATTGCTGATGTGAGTTTCTTTGTTATCATGAACAGGTCGTTTTTTTTCAACAACAAAATCTTCTCTATCATCAAGATAACATTTCGTATCGACTCGTTTTGGAATTTCCAATAGACTTTTTTGATTTGCACGTACTGCGACGAAATACCTTCTGATTAGCCAAGGTTAAACTAAAGATCATGTCTTAAGCAATGTTCTCGAACTACGGGGGCCGGAACTAAAATGTACGTAAACGACCTCCAAATGAGAAAATGATCGTACTATAGATGAAAACAGAATAGACAATTGGGATCTTTTGGTTTTCATGTTTTGTAGTATAGTAAACAGAAATTTTGCATTCTTCGTTGATTGAAGGAATGGAATATATCGAATTAATAAGATTTTTAACCAGTGTGTTTGGATTTTCGTAAAGTCGTTCGAACAAATTAAGAAAAATTTTTCGAAATTTTTTTTGAAAAGTTTTCGGAAACATACTTTAAATAGTCTAACATCCATATGGTCTAGAAATGGCTTGATATTCAATTTGTGAGTTTTTTATGCTTTTAACAAGGTGGCTTTTAACAAGGTGGCTTAACTTTTGATAGTTTGAGATTTGTAGGCTATCGTGGAAATTTGTATAAAAATAAGATGATAATCACCTGATGAGTTTTTACGGCTATCATTAACATGGTGGCCTATCTTTTGCAAGTTTGAGTTTTTTAGGTCACCATGGTAAATAGCCTAGATATGGTCTAACTTCCAGATGATGTGTTTTCTAGACCATTTTCACACGGTGGCCTAACTCTTGCTAGTTCGAATTTTCTAGGCCACCATCTTAATTGAAATGACTTGATACTCGCCTGGTGCGCTTTCTAGATCATTTACTGTAATGGCCTAGCTTTTGCAAGTTTCAGTTTTCTAGACCACCATGGTAAATGACCTCGAAATGGCTCCATAATCACCAGATGCGCATTTTATATAGCCTAGAAATGACCGGATCACCTGGTGCTTTTTATGACATTTGAACATGGTGACCTAACTTTTACAATTTGAATTTTCTAGGCCACTATGGTAAATAGCCTGGAAATGGCTTTATATTCGCCTTTGGCCATTTTTACATGATGGCCTATTGTCGGAACAAAAAAAAGTGAGACTCGGTGTTTGCGTACTTTGATTCCCGCCTCCCCCCACCGACGCTCCGCCCATCGCTTTGCAAGTGCGGCGTGGTGTTTTGGCGCCACTTGGGAGATCATCGGCTTTAATGAGATTTTCATAGATAACTTTTTAAAGTTTGAGTTTTCTAGGCCACCAACTTTTATGACCTAAAAATGGCGTGATATTAGCTTTGTGAGTTTTAATGCCATTTTAACATGGTGGCCTAACTTTTGCAAGTTGGCTTTGCTAGGTCACCATCTTTTACTGTTAGAAAACTGCTCGAACGAAATTTCGTTTTATAACTTGGAAAATATAGACTTATTGATTTTTTTTCTGAAATTTCTAGTCTGGTCTCCTTGCTGCTATCCCTCACCTCGTCATGGGATGTGTTGTCCTAATGGGCGGTCAACTTGCCGATTATCTTCGTTCCAATAAAATCCTCTCCACAACGGCTGTTCGCAAGATTTTCAACTGTGGAGGATTCGGAGGAGAAGCTGCATTCATGCTCATTGTTGCCTATACAACAAGTGACACAACTGCCATCATGGCTCTGATTGCCGCCGTCGGAATGTCTGGATTCGCAATTTCAGGTTTACTTTTCTCTTTTGAACCTGACAATTAAGATTTCTTCTAGGTTTCAACGTCAACCATTTGGATATTGCCCCTCGTTACGCTGCTATTCTTATGGGATTCTCGAATGGAATAGGAACTCTGGCCGGATTGACTTGTCCATTTGTGACAGAAGCATTTACGGCTCATTCTAAACATGGATGGACAAGTGTTTTCCTTCTTGCTAGTCTCATTCATTTCACCGGAGTCACTTTCTACGCTGTCTACGCATCTGGAGAGCTTCAAGAGTGGGCGGAGCCAAAAGAAGAAGAAGAGTGGTCGAATAAGGAATTGGTTAATAAAACTGGAATTAACGGAACTGGATACGGAGCTGCGGAGACCACATTCACTACTCTCCCGGCAGGAGTTGAAGCTTCTTACCAGCAACAAGCTCAAGGTAATTAGGTATGAACTTCATTGGAAATATGTAGATATTTTCAGCTCCAAATCCTACAAACTCCTTCGCCATCTCTTGGGACGACCATGGAGCGTCATCTGGAGTCGTTGAAAACCCACACTACCAGCAGTGGTAGAAGAAGTTCCATTTATAAATAATTATTTAATTAATCAATTAGTTTCTCTCGCTATCATAATTTATAATTTTATTAATTCTCATCCTAGGATATCTCAACTTAACTGATCTCTATTATTTTGGAAATTTCTCTCTGTCACAAGATTCTTTCTTTTTTTCTAACTTTGCGATTTCATATCGTTTTTGCAATAAAGAGATTTCTTGAAAGCCAAAGGTATTGTCGAGTTAAAAAAAGTGGGACCTCACTTGGGTTCAAGCGAGGGGGTCAGAAAGCGCGCCCCAGTAATTTTTCAAAAATTCTCAATTCGCTGCCGAACTTCACTGGCTGAGGATCTCAGTTGTATAACTATGAGCGAGAATACGCGCGTTGCAACCCGTTGATTTTAAAGAAATAGATCATGCTCTAGTTCAAACCCGCGTTCATTTTAAAATTATTAAGTTTCTTCTGGCCTACGAGTTTGGTGGGGCGCTTTTTCTGACCCCCTCGCTTGAACCCAAGTGGGACCTAAGAATTTCAAAAGCGTAGTTTTTTTTTATCTACGAAAAAGTGCGGCAAAAACGTAATATTTCAGACATTTGCCTCTTTTGAGCTACTTTCGCAAGTAAGTTCGGTTTTTCGATGAAACACAGATTCTAGCGATCATTTTCAAAACAAGAAATGCAAATTTTGTTCAAATCACAGAACGAAAAATAAAATCACGGAACGAAAATTTTGGGTGATCCAAAAATTGCTATCTTCTTCACTTTGACAAGTAGTATCCGTAATGCTAACTTTTAAATCAATTTTGCTTTGTCCAACACCCAAAAGTATACTAAAAAAGGGTTTATCAATTTCTTAAGATACGCTAGTTAACAGGTTACATAGGACCTGTAGAACATCTGAAAATTCAGTTTAAAGCTACATCAAGCAGTTATTGAGCTTGCTGACATTTTAGGGTGTTCCAGATTAAAGAATCATGCCGTTTCAGCCTAAGCATGTGATTGAAGAAAGCTTCCTCAATCCAAAAATATCATCCAATTTTTGAAAAATGAGAAATCCGAGACAAGAAGTTTCATGCCAAGATTTCTACTCAATTTGGCTCGAGGCTATTCTTATTCCAGACCAACATTTTGTTCCAAGAAGACTATTTTTTTTAAATAAGATTTCTTCAATTATAGACTTATGCTGAATCATCGTGTTTCCTTCATGTGGTACACCCAAAAAACGACGGCAAGTTTAATAACTCTGTTGCAGCCTCTAATCTAACTCCCATATGTCCCATGATCCCCAGAACATCTGGGAAAGGTCCATGTACACAATCAACCAGTGTACCTTAAGGACTCAATATACCACATTTCGGAAAAGAAAATGTAATGTCAAGGTTAGATCTCAGGATAGTACTTGAATGAAGGTCCTAGCAATTTTTGGATTACCCAAAATTATCGTTCCGTGATTTTATTTTTCGTTCCGTGATTTTTCGTTCCGTGGTTTTTTTCGTTCCGTGATTCTAGAAGAGTGCCAATTTTTCTGCACATAACTTTTCAAGGTTCTGACATGTCTTAATGACCATCACCTAACACCTGAACAAAGAAAAAAAAATAAAAAAATCGACGACGGCACTTGGGTCCAAGGCAACGGGTCAGAAATCGCGCCCCAGTGAAACGTGAGATTTTGGGGAAAATTCGCTGCTGAACAATTTGGCTGAGGATCAAACTTTTAAACGTTGGGCGAAAAAATCTCTCGTTAATTAAAAATAAATAGGCGAAATTCACGTCAAATTTGAAATTATTAAATTTCGTTTGGCCTAAAAGTGATTTGAGGCGCGTTTCTTGACCCGTTGCCTTGGACCCAAGTGCGACTGTGCGATTGTAATACAATCTGTTACAAAACTTTTGAGGTGTTGATCATAATTGTTGATTGACTACGCAGTTTTGCAATTTTAATTTTTTTTATACTCGTAAAATTTTACGAGTGTCGTAAAATTAAATTCGTAAAATTCGTAAAAACTGGATGAGTGTTTTTTTCACTATTTTTGTTCAAAATTGACAGTATTCCGACCCATTCTCATGTTTTTGATCTAGTTTTTTTACTGAAAACGGTTCGCGTACGGTGTATGCGGTTCCTATTTCAACCGCGCGCGAACGCGAAGCGTCCGTAACGGACCCGTTCGCATTTTACCTGTGATATCAAATTTCTGAATTTTTGAATGAAAATATTTTAGTAAATAAATCATTGAAAAATATAAGCCCACCTTCTAATTGAAGCCCAACTCGAAAGAAGAATAAGTTTATTTTTAGTTATTTGCAATCCGTATCTCAATTCACAGTTCGAGAAGTCAGAATAAATCACTTATTCGTGCTGAATGATGAAATCCAACGTCGAATTCACGATCACATCGTCAAAGGATTAATAGGAGATAAGAGTAAATCAATAGTTGAAAACCCGCATATATACAAAATAACTGGTATAAAAACTGCTTTCCAGAAGCCGAGGTCGAAGTATTTACTGGAATGGATAATATATGTCATCCTGGATGTAATGATTGTTTGGAAATTGCCAAACAATGCTATGAATATGGTCCAGTTCAATTGAATTATCTCACACAACCGAACATTTCACAAAATTTTGAAAAATTGATCATCACTGATTAGTAAGACCCGTCTTTCCTGTTTATCCCCATAAATAGTAATATTTCAGTCTATTGGATGACATTGCAAATAAGTGTGTTTGATCTTCGGAAACCAAAGAAAACTGTATGGATGCTCTAAAAGAGATGATAACATCTGATATCTATTGTAATATTCTACAAATCAATGTATCTGGATGTCGGAAAATATCAACAAGTGCGCCTCGAAAAGAGAAAAACGCGATGCCGATGCCTCGTGAAATCTTGGACGCAATTCTTTTGAAATGGAGTGTGAAGTCAGTTATTTTGAAGTTTGTAGATGTTACCCGACAAGATATCCAAAAGAGGAATTGGATAAAGTCAAAATGGTTCACTGGATTTCGATTCAACGATGTTCATGAAGCTGTCAATCCATCAAGTCTTGATCTCAAATTCCCAAAAGTTGAAGTAGACTTTGGTGCGTCTCCAATACGTTCGGAATTATTACGGGAAGGCGGTATCGACAAATTCGTTTCTAGAGCATCTAATCAAAACATCATCGCAAATATCAAACGAGTTTTACCAACGGATCGAATTTCAATTCGTTTTTGCCAATGGACTGCATCACACATCCGATAAGTCTTCGATCGGCCTTTGCAACAAATATTTAGAGACGAACACGAAAATTTAGAAGTTGATATTCAATTGGTTGTAAGTGATAAGAAGAAAATCTACTTTGCCCACTCGGACGAAATTAAGAAAAATGATGAGGTTCTTAAATACAAGCTGAGGGTGACAAAAGAAATTCCACCTGATGTATTACTGAAATGCAGAAAATACAATGAAACAACAGGACTATATTGCTATCGTCATGAATTGCATGCAGGTAAGAGTTGTAGATTAGGTAATAAAAGCGGCAGTTGTTTCATTAATTTTAAAATAATGACTCGAGACGATCCTCCTCATCCAAAAAATTTACAATTTGTATCAAATGATTATCTGTATTACCTGTATTATTACCCCAACAATTTATATTTTTTGCTCGTTTTCCTCTATTATATTTCATCACCTGAATAAAACATTTAAAAAATAACTCACAACTTAATTTCATTATTATTTCGGTCTGAAAAATGAAAATTAAAGAGAAGTGTATACGAAGTGCACAAACGGACTCCTTGAAGCGTAGGAACAGAAAAAAAAGCGCATACGATGTAGACGCAGACATATTTTCTATGCGCCTTCATTTTTTCAGGCAGCGATCATATCTACTTTTACAGGCATTGAGATGTCATAATTCCAAAAAATTATGGCTGAAATTCAAAAGCTATCCTACTCTCTTGGAAACGATTGCTGAAACTTCGATAGAAGGTGTCAGGGTCATGGATGGAGAAGTCCCCAAAATGTTCCAAAGTGCTACAGTTTTTTTGTTTATTGCTTCATTCAGTTGAGTTATTCTTTTCTGGAATCATTTTTCCTGATTACAGGCTTACCATTAGGCTGAAACGTCAAGTTTCCTTCATCTGGGACATCCGAAAATTGGCGTCAAGTAACTCTGCTAGTTGTAACCACAAATCCAAAATGCAGATGTACCCAACTCCCACTTACTCTATAAAGTAGTGTATCTTAAGCCCATACCACTTTTCCGATATACTTTTGGATACTGAGCCAAATAAAAGTGATTTCAAGGTTAAATTTAGTAATAGTACTTGGGTAAATGTTTTTTTTCTTTCCGTGATTCTAGAACAGTGCCAAGAAAACTTTAAAAATGAAAAAAAAAGAAGAGAACAAATAATTTCAAAAAAGAATAACTCGACTAAATAAAGCAATACACAGGAAACTGTAGCACTTTGGAACATTTTGGGGACTTCGCCAACCGCGACCCTGACATCTTCTGAAAACCCCCGTTAATTCTCAATTGTTTCTCAAGGGTTACATAATATTTTCTATCCTATTATCCTCTCCTATATTCAATGTACTGATTTAAAAACGTTCCTTTGGGAAAAATGAATGCTCACTCATTGTTGAATATCAGTCAACCGACTACTCTCATTCTCAATCGTCCTCCTCTGTTCACCATTCGCGTCTTTGAAGAAAACCTCACGGAGAAGGTTCTGGAAAAACACATCGCTACATCGGGAATGTACACCTACCATCTAAACGAATTGGCTCAGAAATTCGCTGAAATCAGAAGAAAGGACATGATCAACGCTCAACGAAATATGGCAGAATCGAGAGAATGCAATGCTTACATTGAAAATCAAAAACTTATTCTGGAACAGAAGACTCAAGGAGAAGTCAACCAATTGTTTTCTGCTGCCATGGGATCTTCTGGTGCTCGAAAGAAGACGTCAACCAAACCAGATTACTCCAAGTACCGAATTGTCAAGAGATCCAAGTCTACAGCTTCTTCGTCGACGACTTCATCTCCATCTTCTTCTTCTCCGACGTCTCAATAATATAGATCCAACTTTCTCACTGTCACAATTTCAACGATTATTACTTTTTTTCTATTCCTTACATCTGTATTAACTTTTTTACTTTCTTTAAATTCTTATTTCTTAAATTAATAAATTATAATTTTTTAAAAAACATGTTTCTCTGTTTGAATGCTAAAGCGACTGCCCATTATGGAATACTAGAATTTCAATCCTAACACGCCCGAATAGGGGGAAGCTTACCTTCAGAACAGAGGAACTTCCAATAGACGCGTACCTAAATTGAATCAAAAGAAACGAGAAAGATGAGGATAAAGTTTCAAATTCAAAAAAATATATTACGGGTGATAACAAAAAAGGGATAACGAGAACAACAAAACAAAAAAGAGATAAAAACAACAGAAACAATAAGAATAGATTTAAAGAACATCTTTGATTTCCTTCTTGCTCAACTTTCCTCTCTTGATCTTCTTCAACAATCGGATATCATTCTGAGCATCGTCTTCCTCCTCCGACTTTCTCTTCTTCGCACGCTTCTCCTCTGCATTTGCTCCAGTAGCACGACTCTTGAATCTTCCACCAGCTCTCTTCATCTTCCGCGCCTCCTTTTCTCTTCTCTTCTTCTCCTTCGCTGCCAACGTCTCAATCTTCTTCTCGTGCTTCTCCTTCATCACCGTGTCGCGATTGGCTTCAAGCTTCGGATCGGCATACTTGATTTCGGATGTCTCGATGTCACTTCTATCGAACTGATTCAAATCTTTTCTTTGAGCCAGTTCACGCATCTTTGGCAATCGGAGAAGAGCGTAGGAGTTGGCGAGACCGACAACATTGAGATCATCGAGGGAGCAGATGAGATGGCAATCGTGTTTGGCGTATGATTCGATATGACTGACGAATGCACGAGTTCCCAATTCCAGAATAGCACGATCCGAGACTTGAATCTTGATCATCTTCTGTCTCAACTCCTCAGCCTTTCTAGATGTACTCGTTGGCACTTTCACTTCCTCCAATTTCACTTTCTCGTGGTTATCAAGGAAGCTAACATAAGCAAGTTGTTCTGTGGCAATTAGAATCAACGCATTTCCATCTCTTCCGCATCTCGCTGTTCTTCCAGCTCTGTGCACAAACCAACTGGAGTGTTTCGGGAGATCGTATTGAATAACCCAGTCAATGTCGGTGATGTCGATTCCTCGAGCCATAACGTCAGTTGAGATCATCACCCCATTTGTGCTCTCCGAGAAAGCTTTGATTTGAGCGGCTCGGTGTGGATTCGAGCATTTTCCGTGGACAGCAAATAGTGGGCGTTTGGTGAGACATCTTTCGAAGATCTGAAAAGAAACAAATTGAGAACTAATGTTAAAATGTTTCTAACTACCTTATGGAAGTACCTGACCGAGTTACACGATGGGAAGAAGATGAGAACCTTTTTATCAGTTCTCTGTCGAATGAATTCCAGACAAACGCTGGTTTTCTCATCAGCTGGACATTCAACAAAATAGTTTTTCAGTGTGGAAGGAGCTGCGGAATTTCTCTCTTGTGACACTTTCACTTGCTTCGCGTTTCTCAAACCGAAAACCATCAGGTCGTCTTCTTCTTTCACTTGAGTTGCAGAGAACAAACCAGTACGACGTTGCTTGGGAATGCAGGAGAGAATCTCTCGCATACTGAAAACATTAACATTTTCGAGAATTGTAGAAGGGATAACTTACTGATCCTCGAATTGAATTTCATTGAATCGATCGGCTTCATCGATAACTAGCAATTGAACTCCTTTCATGGCTCTAGCGATCATGGTCTTTTCGTGTTGAATAATTTGGAAAAGTCGTCCTGGAGTGGCAACGAGAATATTGATATCCTTATTCTTGAACATTTTGATATTCTTATCCACTTTCTGTCCTCCAGTCACTGTCTCCACATTCAGTTTCATCTTCTCAGCGAATGGCTTGATGACATTGACAATCTGACTGCAAAGTTCTCTCGATGGCGACAAAATGAGTGCTCCAATTTCATTGGGTTGAAGTCGTGCATTTTGAATCATTCTCATCATCGGTAAAACGAAAGCCAACGTTTTTCCGGATCCAGTTGGTGACTCAACAACGACATCTGACAGATTCAGAAGATGTGTTCCGGCGAGGACCTGGAAGATGCAAGAACCAATAAATTTCCATCTCCCGTCCTTGCTTCACTAGTGCGCAGCTGTGAGAAGCCGGCGGTGCTTCCTCGTTCTCTCCCCCCAATGCTCTGCGTCTCCACGAGCTCTTTGTTATTTTTTATATCGATCCGAATCCCGCCCAGCTCCTCTTTTCCTAACCTATTAAGTGGTTTTTCTGGCTTTCTGGTTTTTCAATATTCAGATTTAATCTCCTTTGCTATTTATAAATTTTCAGATGAACAAGCCAAAGCCAGACTGGGGAGCATATTATTACCAAGGCAAGCGGAAAAACGGAAAGACGCGATTAATGCTAGATGTTGTGCATCAGATGAATCAAGCTGTTCCCACATTTAATGAGCTATTTGATGAGGTAAATAATCGAATTTCGAGTATTTGAACTGAAAAGAAATCGCATTTCAGGAAACATTCTACGTATTTGCATTTCTGGTCGTAGTGGTTTCGATAGGTTTTGTAATTATTATGGCGAGATGTTTTAAAGTCAAAATAACTGAATACGACATTGACATAGATCGGGAATGGAGAGATATGACGCCTGCTAACCCATTTCGTTTTCCATGGGACGATGCCAAAAAGAATGAGAAGGCAAAGTTGAAGAAGGAATAACATACGACATACATTTATCTATTTCTTGTTATTTCTCCTCTATTTCACTTTCAATAATAAAACATGTGCCTACCTGTACATCTGTGAAAGATTTATAACTTTTGTCGAAAACTTCGAGAATCTCGGGACCCAGCTTTTCGCGATAGGTTTTCGTCGCAACTGCGCCCACTTTTGATGTCATTTTAGTACCTGAAAATTAAAAAGTACAGATAACGAACGAAACGAATAAAGTAAATGTTAGAATATGCGAATCAACAAAGCAGAGGGAAATTTAGATTTTTCGAATGTGCTTACAGCTGAAAATTAGATGAATAGACTATTCAAAAGCTTTAGAACTTTTCTCCAAGTTGTAAATTAATTTTTTAAAACGATAGAAATCGCTAACAAATCTAATTTAATGAACAAAATTCAATTTTCTGTTTGTAAAAATTCCGAAAAAATTCCCTGCAAAAGTGTGCAAACACAAATACGCACTTTTGCGGACAAAGCATTAAATCCTACGACTTATGCCTGATGTGGAAGGTCGTTTTAGGTTGCTTTCTAGCTCGAAAATCAATTAAATCTTGGTAGAATCTTTGTGAAAATTGTCAAAAAATCAGTGTTCAATTTTAATCTTGCTTTTCGTTTCTTTTCAATATTGTCTTCGTTTTTTCCTGCTTTATAAATTTTCTTTCCTTCAAAAATAATTTTTCCAGACAAAATGACATATTTCACAAACTGGGAAGAGTTTGCAAAGGCTGCTGAGAGACTTCACAGTGCTAATCCAGAGAAGTGTAGGTTCGTAGAAAAATCCATCATCAAGAAAAAAACGACTAGGCTAAATGAGCAGATTTTGAGCTCATTTTTCAATTAAATAATTATTCCCAATACCTAAAAAAATATTTTTTTCTTCCAATAATTCTTCAATCCCACCTTCAGATTCGTCACCAAGTACAATCACACAAAAGGAGAACTGGTTCTGAAGCTCACCGACGACGTCGTCTGCCTCCAATACAGCACCAACCAGTTGCAAGATGTGAAGAAGCTGGAAAAGCTGTCGTCAACTCTTCTCCGCAGCATCGTTACTCAATAATTATATGCTTTTTTGTCTGTCATTCAGTATTCCATTCAAATGTTTATAAAATATTTATTGGTCGAGTAATATGTTGCTGTTTTTTTTTTGTTTTTTCAGCTCAATTCGTAATTAATATGCTCAAAATCTCCTGCTACGTGGTACGCGTGTTAGAAGAAGGATAAGGGAAATTTAAAGCAGTTTCAGTTTGATTTAGCAACAAGAAAACAATGTCTCGCCGAAACGATAGTTCGAGAAGACATCGCAAATCACGTGCTGTCAAAAATGATCACGAATATCCGTTGGTTTCGTTCGATGGAGGAGTTGAGTCCTACGAAATCCCAGCCGACGAGGGCAAAAGCCCAGTTCACACTCGTCTCTCGCAGACTTCGACTCCAGGGGAAGTGAAGTACATGGATGAGATTGCTCTGCTCAAGCGTGGACGTATCGATAAAGATGCGCCGAAGCATCCATACAACCGTCGTGGACAGCCACCGCCGATCTCTGAACTCTCGATTCCATCGCCGCTTCCAACGAAAAGTCCGGGTCTTCACACTGTGATGAATGGGGTTCCAGATGCCACGAAAAGCTACAAAGTCGGATCCGATGGAGAATTGAAGTACTCGACAATCAAGGGTGGAGGCGAAAGGTTTGTTGGAACACCGCGATTTTTTCGGAACGTCATTAAATGCGCTTGAACACTAATTTTTCATAAAAGCGGTTGCAAAAGCGCGGTAAAAATACTTTTTTTTACTGGAAATTTCAGATACGAGCTCTCCTCTGACAAGCAATTCACATGCTTCCAACAAACTGCTGGCGAAACTTGTCTCTTCACTTTCAGAGATTAAGCCATCAAATTCAAAGGAACAACCGAAGAAAACTCCTAGAGAACTATGGATTCGAACAATAAATATTTATTTGTAGAGAGAAAAAGAGAAAAAATGTGTCGATATTTAAAAATAATACTTGTAAAATTGGTTTTGTACCTAAAACGCTAGGTTTTTGTGCAAAAATGGTGAAAGAAAAACTGTTGAACGCATCGGTTCGAAAGGTGGATAATTAACAAAATTAAACAATTAAAATCAGGATGCCCGAAAAAAAGAGAAATGTTAAAAGATCTGAATGCGATGATTCTCCCGATCAGTGACCACAATCGAACCGTCGATAGTTACACAAACGTCTTCGACGCCTTTCAGCTGTCCAGCTCCTCCACCCCAGGTTCCGAACGAGGAGACGAATTGACCCTGCGCGTCGAAGATTTGGATTCGGTTGTTCCCCGAATCGGCGATTATTATGTTTTCCTGAAAAATAAAGATAATGAGATGTTTTTGGCCTATTTAAATGAGGTCCTTACCTGCGAATCAATAGCAATTCCACGCGGGAATTTGAATTGTCCACCATGAAAACCTTCTTCGCCAAAAGAGAACAGATGAATACCTTGTGGATCGAATACGCTGATTCGATGGTTTGACGAGTCGGATACATACACCTGAAACATTATTTTGAATTAAAAAAAAACTTGAATTTTGTTGGAAAGTCTTTTAAAGTATTATAATTCATTTAATAGGTACCGTAATCAAATACCGTATCCCCTCTAATAGAAGGTCACCCATACCGTCAGCTTCGAGCTCCACTATCCCGACTCCTGTGAAAGATATCAAGAAAATATTCAACTGATCAAATATTGGTGATGTTATTCCTATGAGAGGAAGTACGGTATACATAGCTTGAAGTTACTGAAACCAAAAATACAACTCACATGGTGGGTAACTTTGCTGACAGCAATAAAAAGAGGGCTGTTCAGTTGACCAGGGAGGTGTCCGAATGTTCCGAACTTGGCAATGAACTGACCATTTTTATCGAAAACTTGGACTCGATGGTTGTCCTGAAATAGTTGAGAGTTAGAATATATAAGAATCTTCAAAATTTCAATTCAAGACAATTCTCAATATTTGAATGAATGACTCTAATTGAATCGACCCCTGTACGTGTACTTCGAGCTCAATTATCTCGGTTGCTATAAAATATATAAAAAATCTGTTAACTGATAAAAACATGCCGTAATTATGATAAAAATTTTATCAGTTGACAGATTTTTGACATCTCTTATAGGAACCGAGATAATTGAGCTCAAATGAATGTATAGGGCGGGCTTCTATTAGAGCAAATACGATACTTTGAGGTCAATTATCTCGGTTCTTATGAGAGATATTAAAACACTGCTAAGTAATAAAACATTGACAATATTATGATAAACAATTTATTAGTTGACAACTTTTTCATATCTTTAAAAGGAACCGAGATAATTGAGCTCTCAGGGTGGGCTTCTATTAGAGCAAGTACGGTATGTTTAAATCAATTCACTATCAGGGTCTCATAACGTCTAGAATTTTAGAAAATTAAGAATCTGTTAAAATTTTGGAGTTCCTGAGAGAGATTATGAAATTTTGATAATTCAAGTTCTTACCTTATCAGCCACATAGATACTTCCCAAATCATCCACAGCCACTCCCCATGGATTATTGAATTTGGCATTTCCTTGTCCATGTCCTCCAAACGAAAACAAATGATCACCTTCTAAACCAAACACAGAAATCCGATGATTGTATCTATCGGAAACAACAATACGAAGTTTCGAACTGGCCAGACCGGCCGCCGAATCCAGCTGTCCACTACCGGATCCGTATCCACCGAACTGACGAACAAACTTTCCTTCTTTATCGAACACGCAAACACGATGATTAGACGAATCACAAGTTGCGACAAGACCCCCAGCCATAGCACATATGCCTCTTGGCCAATTCAACTCCCCATCTTTTGCACCTTTTCGGCCGAATACGGCCCGTGGTCGACCGCGTGCTCGCCACTCGCCCGCTTCTCTCGACGCACTTCTGCCTCGTTGTCGCAGCACTGCCAATTTCTCTTTCTCTTCGTCGGTTGTGGTGGAAGAGTCTAAACGAGATTGTCGTTCGGCGAGTAGCTGCTGCACACGAGCACTTGTGAACTGCGCCTGCAGGTCGGGATTGGTGCGCGAGCGTTGGAAGCGCTGCCTCCGACGCTGCAGCCACGCTGGCACGACGATATCGCTTTCGTCTTCCTCACCTGTGAAATGTGTGACGGGGATGGCGACTTGCTCTCCGGGTACTGTAGTGGTTGGGTTGGTGCTGTTAGCTGGGGGTGCATTGTGAATCGATTGGGGAAGTGTGGTATTCAGAATAGTTCCAGTTCCAGGAATCATCGTCATCAGTCCGTCTTCTCGATTTACGGACGCCGCACGACACACTATTCGTATTCTACCGCGGTTGGTGCTCACGGGAAAATCCTCCCCCTCGGATTCTTCACTTGATACTGCTCTTGAAGCAGCTTGTCTTTGTTGGTGAGCTCTTCGAATAGTCTCCACTTTCTCATTTAGAGAATCATCGTTACTGGATTGCTGACGTGGAAGTGGTGGCTTCCTAATGGGCATTTGTGGGAGTGGAGCTGGTGAAGCATCCTCGTTTCGATCTATAGATGACGTGGCGGATGGTGGAAGAGGTGGTTTACTGGAAGGGGACACAGTTCTCGGTGTCTCCGTATTCGGTACAATCAGACTTGTTGGCCGTGACTTGGATGTTGGTTCAACTGATCGGGAGACACGATCAGCTGCCCACGGCGATGTTCGAGAGGATGAATTGGAGTCAACGATCGTTGAAGTTGATAGGAGAGATGGGGTAGCTGAGGAGTTACGAAGTCGATTCCAAGCTTCCTCTTCTAGTTGCTGACGGCGTCGGTAACGGATCGAGCTCTCGTCTGGTTCGGGAAGATTTCGATGACTGAAAAAGATAGAGGATGAGAGGGAGGAGACTACAGAGTAACTAAATAGGTAAGAGTTGAGAGCATAGATGAACATAATTGATTTTTACGTATACAAACTGAATATAGTAACAGCCAATGAGGCAATAGTTAGCATTCTCGAGTCCGGAATGTGCCGTATTTGCTCTAATAGAAGGCCACCCAAGCCATCAACTGTGAGCTCAATTATCTCGGTTCCTGTCGAAAATACAAAACGTTCAACTGATAAATTGTTTATCATAACATCGCAAATATTTTATCAATTGACAAAATTTTGATATCTCTCATAGGAACCGTTATATTCGAGTTCAAAGATGAAGGTTTGGGTGGGCTTCTAATAGAGGCAATACACTAACCTTTCTGTGGTTCAATTCTATACAGATGTATACAGAAACATACTAGACAATAGTTATAACAATTTTAGTATCACGGTCTATCTAAAACTAAAATTATACAGAATCTGGATGAACACGATTGGATGCCTGAACGGACGAAGATTTGACCTTAACACATTTATTAAGGTTAGTACTATGAACTACAAACTAAACTATTTGAACTCGAAAAAAATGTTAGTACCAAAAACACTCGAACACACCTGTGTCTAGATGAGGTTCGATCGTTTTCCCGTTCCCGCATACTAGCTCTCTCGTCGGCTTTCACACGATAACTATCACTTTCCAATGGTAAACGGAATGGTCGAGGGAGGTAAGATTGTTCGAGGGGTAGGTATCTGAAAACATTCTTTTATTTTGAAGACAACTTTTATTTAAAACGAACCTTCCAGAGAACTGTGGAACTAGAACACAAAGCTCCCCAGATGTGGCGATAGCTGCTGGAAGTTTTGCAGCGTCGTCTCCAGCTGAGAATCTTAGTTTTCTATTGAAAAGTTCGTCAGCGTCGGGTTGGAAGTTCCTGAGATACTCCAGGCCTTCTGTGAATGTGTTTTTCATTCGGACCAAGTCAGCATCCTCAATTGCACATTCTCCCTGAAATATGTCACAATGACAATAATCCAATACGGTAGTCCCACCTTTATAGCGGCATCAAGTCTAGAAACCGCTTCACTCATATTGGAGCTTTCGATTTCTAGAACATCACGAAGATTGCTCATGGTTCGAGATTCCGTGGCTTGGAAAGTGTCGATTTCCATTAAGAAGTTGTCTTCTTTCTTTTTCAGCTCTCGTTGATACCTGAAATTTTAAACCGTCATTGTCGAGAAACACCGAACTTAAAAAGCACATTTTCAGATATGCGCCTTTAAAGTCTGAGAAGATGCGGACAGCCTGCGAGCCTCTTTTAAGGAGTATATCGGAAAAACTGTGATAGTCATAAAAACAGTGTCAACTACAAAATTCTGTAAAATTTTACGCTCTTTTGGTTTTTGAGATATAAATCTCTGTAAAAATAGTGGTATTATTGGAATAATTATTTCAAGCCCTAATTTAAATTTAATTTTTTTCTGAATTCAAAATGCTGCTCACCTATGAAAATATTCTTTGACTTCTGCTTTCGTTGTTTCACAATTCAAAGTCATCATATCCATCCCCTTTGACAGATTATCCGACGCTTCTGTGATTCGATTTGCCAACCGCTTCACCTGATTCAAAAGTCTTGACATATCTCTTTTCAACATGTCCATATGAGTCTGTCTACATTCTTTACACGCTTTTCGATCACAATGGGCACACGGCTCACAGTCCGCTTTCTCATCGCAAATTTTACATCGTTCCAGATTGTACCGATGAATATATTCTTCGATTTCTGCAGCGGATTCTGGAGTCGCTTGCAGGTGAATCTCAAGAAATCCCGTCAGTGTGTAATTTGGCTGAAAATAAGACGCTGTTTTTTAATCGAACCAGAAGAATGGTACCTGAAAAGCCTTTACTCCGTCATATGGAATATTGTGCTCTGCTCGGCATTCTGGACATTTTAGATTCCGGTGCAAAGTGTCTGCACATGATTCCAGACATGGATAACAAAAGGTGTGTTGACAAGGAAGTAATTTTGGTTGTCTGAAAATTTATTGGATCTACAGACACACAGACAGACATAAAGTTCCCCTTTTCCTCTCGAAGAATCTTCAAAGAGCATCCCCAATATCATCTTCTTCCTCTATTCCCCGAGGTGTAATACACACACTTTGCATCTTTTTGTTGAATTGAAAGATAGTTGAAAATCAGTAGAGAGCGAGAGAGAAAGATGGGGATTTCTCCGGTTGTAAAAAAGAGAAAAAGATCAAGAAAAGTAGGAGAGAAAAGAGCCGTTCGCTCGCTGGACAATATCACAAACCTATTATCAGTTGACAAAATTTTTATATCTGTCATATAAACCGAGATATATGGGCTCAACGTTAACGGGTTGGGTGGACACTCTATAGAGTGTTTACGGTAGTTTGAATTTCCTGAAATTACGGTTATCATGCTCAGCTTGTGAAATTGAAACAAGCGATTTTGAGAATTAGCGATTTTGAAAATCCTTGCCCAAAATTTTGGAACTTGTCATTTTCTTGTATTGTCAAACTTCTAGCATTGCGGAATATGAAAGTTTGAATATCGCAGAATTAATTTGAACTGCAGTTTTAAGATCTTAGAATCTAACAAATGTAAGAGAGAAACCTAAGAAGTATGAAAATTTTAAAGTATCTATGTTTTGGCAATCACAAAACTATACTTTATAATTTTTTAGACTAAACAGTCGTGTTTTTTATTTGCCAGCTCCGCTACCGTAGCTCTAATAGAGACATCTCCCTATGCGTGCACTTTGAGCTCAATTATCTCGGTTAATGTAAGAGATATCAAAAATTTGTCAACTGAAGAAATATTGGTGATATAATGACAAACATCTTATTTTTTTTAGATCTTTTATAGGACCCGAGATAATTGAGCTCAAAGTTGACGCTATCTTCTCATTGTTTCAATGATGCTTCTTGCAAAATTTTATTCTCAAATCTTATACCCCTCTAGATTTTTGATATCTATTGACTCAAACTCTGATGTCCGGTTCCCTACCACTAAATCTACAAAAAAAATCTTCCTACCAATACCAGATCGTGATCAGATCGTGTTGTTGATCACTCAAAATCCCCGCACCCAAAAGCAATAATTATTGTTATTGTTTTGTCTTTGGAGAAAGAAAGGCAAATAATATAGTGTTGTTTATCATATAAGCCCATCATTTCCTCTTTTCAAAGTCTAGATTTTCAGTGAGTCCTAATCACCGAGAGGTACTAGAAAGAGGTCATAAGATAGTGGTCAGAAAGAGATAGACTCAAGTCACATGCTCTTGAAAATGTACTGATGGGTGTTATTTTTCGTCAAGCTCTTAACAAAACTTTGTCAAAACGAACAGGCCAGCTGATTGGTGAGATCATCACAGGGACACACTTACTTGTAGCGATCGAGACAAATCGGACACGTCAGCAACTGTTCGATCTTCTCGAGAGGGTTCACGAAATCTGCTGGTCGACTCGATGGTGGACGTGACATCAGCTCGCGCATCTGAAGATCATGAGATTGGATTGAAATTTGGGAAGATGGACGCGTTGGAACTTTTTGAGTTAGCTAAAAACCTGTATCAGAAGGGCCCTCCGAGAAGAGCTTGGAGAAATAGACGGACCGGTCCTCTTAATAGAGGTTTTAGGGATTAATGAATTTTTCTTTGATGCCAGAAAATTAGTAGCCAGAAAATTAGCGAATTCCTAAATTAATTCTAAAAAACCCAAGTCAAAATTTTCAGTTTTCAAAAACCCTTAGATTCCAAGAATTCAGGAAAATTTTTCCATTTCAGCTGGATCAGTGCTCAAGTGTTTTGTAGACTTCATATCAGTTTAGGAAAATTTAGAAAATTTCTCCAGGAAACAACAGAAAAAGGGCCTAAAATGGTTCTGGAACCATCTGGAACGTAAAATTCTTACTGAAATTGTCCAATGTGAAAAAGAGCTTTCAAAAAATTGGGACGTTCAACATTTTTCGGAAACATCGAAAAATGTAGTTTTATGATTTTCAGTATAGTTTCAGTTTGAAAATCCTAATTTTTATATTTATTTCGTGATTTATAACTTGCCGTAATGCTATAATAGATGTCCACCCTATAGGTACCCTTTCAGCTCAATTATTTCGGTTCTTTTTGAAGACATAAAAAGTTTTCAACTGTTGTTTGTCATAATATCATCAGTTTCTTATCAGTTGAGAGATTCCTGATATCTTTCATAGGAAGACAGACAAATGAGCTCAAATTAAACGTATAGGCTGGGCTTCTTTCAGAGCATTTGAGGTTTTTTCTTTTTTCTCAACTAATGATCAGTTCTGAAAAGTTTCAAGCTTGGGTTTTTTAACTTTTTGAAGAATTTAGAAACTTTTAAATAACAAAATTACGAAATCAGGGGTTCTCCAAAAATGACACTTACCTTTTCGCGAGCTTCTGCCTCATTTTGTGGAGAATTGCTCATTAGGAGATAACTTTAATTGAAAGATTTCCTTGATATTTTGAAATCTGAGGATTCAGGAAAACGAATCAAAAATAATAAAATAATAAAGTGGGGTGTACTTGGAGAGAGTTGGTTGAATGGGGATGGGGCGATGAGTGTGCGGAGTGCTCCCGGGAGCCAATCGAGAGATGAGAGACGACAGAGTGGTTAGACAAAGAGATCTGGGAAGATGAGAAAACAAGAAAAAGACGCCCCCAGAGAAAGAGATAGACGGGACGGGCTCCCAGCAGCAGCAAATATACTGGCCGACGATATCAATTGAAAGGAAAAGAGTACTGCGTGGGGTTGCTGCGCAAATGGATCTTTTCGGATTTGCGAAGAATAGTTCGGTTTTTATTCTCCTTTTGTTTGTATATTTACTCATCAGTTTTGAAACCGATGGAAATTTTGAAAAAAATGTGGGAGAAGGTTAGAGAAGGATAAGATATGCCAACTGGTTTGGGGCCGGGAAGTGTTGGAAAAAGTGCCAATTGGTTTGGAAACGTGTGATTCGTCTTGAGCAGGGAGAGTCTGAAAAGACGAGGCAGGGCGTGAAGAGTGTCCGAAACTCATGAAATCGGATATCAGAAAAGTTCCGATTTCAAGTATTCGAAAGAGATAGAGATATTTCTGTATGTCTGCGAGTATCTTAAGTTTAATTTATGATTTTTGCATTTTTGTCATTTTTTAGTAATCTTTAAAATCGAAATATTCTGAGATTCCCAGCATTTGACTCGAAAAGTTTCAACGAACTTTTGTATCTTCTCGTGGTTCTTGTTCTAAATGTTATTCTGGTACAAAAAATTGAGACCTTTGGCCATTTCTGAATTTCCGATTTTTTTTTCAGTTCTGAAATTCTGAAATTCAAAACTCTGATATTTGGAAATTTGGAAATTTAAAAAAATTCTGAAATTCTGGAATTCTGCAGTTTCGAAATTATAAAATTCCGAAGTTCCGAAATTCCGAAGTTCCGAAATTTTGAAGTTCTGAAATTCTGAAACTCTGAAATTCAGATAATTTTAAATTGTGAAATTTCTGAAATTCCGCAATTCTAAAATTCTGAAATTCTGCAATAATGAAATTTTGAAATCCGGAGATTCTGTCAGTTTTTACAGATATTTCAAGTTCCGATCTTCTTCATAATAACTTTTCTCTGGATATCAATTTTTCTGTATTTTTAAAATTTCAAAAAAATTGTATGTCTGTGTGTCTGTCAATTTTCGATTATTCAAATCTTGAACTACCAGCTTCATTATTCTCAAATTTCAAATCGCAGAACCCAAATAAATATCAATCCCAAAAAATATGTCAAGTCAAGAATCCGAAAGTCCAAGTTGTCCTTCGTATTGTTATTAGGTGGTTGGTTCTGAAAAATGTATAAAATTAATTATAATTTTCTCATAATCAAATATTCTGACATATATCAAGAATGTCTCGATTTAATTTCCTTATAAATGAAACTAACTTTTCCAACAGAACTTAATGCGGTTGAATTAGTTACATTACTTCCACCCTTCCCAGAATCCACTGAAAATTCAGAAGTCGTTGCCGTAGTATGGTTGGCCTCTTGGGTTGGGAGAGCTGAACTCGTGCGATTCTCTGAAAAAAACAAGACGCAGGTGAAAACTAAAAACTCTAGAAACCCTCACCACAAATAGATTCCGACACGTCTCCAATTGTAATTTGACCAAGTTTGTATAGATTTTCGCAGGTGTCTAGAGGTAATTGAGTGAGTAATGGATTGGA